AGTTAGTATATATATATATATATATATATATATATACATGTGAGCCATTATTTTTGATATATATATATATATATATATATGTACATGTGAGCCATGTTTTGTATTTACTTCATATTTCATGCTTTAATATAGTTGTTGCTTGCTTACTTCTTTATACCTTTCTTTCTTGTTTTTCTGGCCAAAAGCTCTGTCTCATGTTTCGTTCTTTCTTGTCCTTTATTTTATTTTATATTAAAAATGATAAATTCAGCTGTAATTATTCGTTGCCTAGCACAAGCGATTTTGATGTTTAATAGTCGTTGTCATATTAGGGACCTTTCTTTCTTCCTAAAAAAGAAAAGGAGACTTTTGTTTATGAGTTAAAATCATCAAATCATTTACTTTCTTCCTGCATTTACTTGAATGACAATGATAAAATTAAAAAAAAAAAAGAAAAACAGCTCAGTCAGTTCAAAAAAAGAAGGTAACGAGTGTTGCCACGCACTATATAACCTTTCTGGTTTGTTTCATTTTCATATTGCAAAGCTTATCTGTATCAGAATATATGACAACAAATATGTCACAATGATTACTGTACGAAGTTATAAATTTTCCGGCCATTTGACTTATAAAATACCCAGTGTTTGCTCTTATTTATGTTGTTTATTGTAAATAAATTTATATTAATGTGATAGCGTTTCTTGCGTTAATGTTGCTGCAATATGTTTGCTCTGCATTTACTTGAACAAGTTGTATTAAAGGAGGCAGGAATTACCTAATTTCATCTATTAGTGGGGAATGATAGCTACGCAGTCACTAGGGAGTCATATGATGAAGCCTATTGTCTATGTAATTTAGATCCGAAAAAACTCTGCAATTATGACCTTGTGGAAGAAACAAGTAACTTCGTAACGATAAGCGAACAAAATATATATTTTGACATTGTGATAATAAGTAACTGATTGTTAAAAAGCAGAACAAGTGATCAGTTGAATCTGGTTCGACTTGCGATGATATTATTAATTGTTTCCATGTTTCTCTCCAAATTTTAAGATTTTGAACTTCTCTGCAGAATCACACTGATGAGTTTTTGGGATAAAGATGAAAGTTACAAATATACCGAGAAGACTTTGGGAGCACAAGAAAAAATCTGCATTCGCATCTCTTATTGCTTATTTCATGGGATGCAAGATTCACAATTGGAAAAGGTTGACCCGCTTTCTTATTGTTTGGCCATTTCCCTTTCAGTATCCAATGTCTTACTCTTTTACATGTTATCCAATGAACTGAATATTAAACATTAGAAATTACTATTAAAATCCCATAAACTATATTGGAGCGTAACAGAATTAATCAAGACATACTCTGAATAATATCTTTTTATAGAGAGGAAGTTTTTCGAACTTTCCAAACTCTATTCTGCAACTTTCTTTATTTTTGCTATTTTTTTACCATTTATTTTCTTATTCTGCTTATTTAAGTTCTATATTTACACCCATGAAAACTTGTTTCATTTTAGAGATTGTGATGTACGGGCTATATATGCTCGAGAAGCTAAGCAATTTGGCGATGTATCGTTAGCTTCAGCAGGACATTTGCGGCGTGTCACTGTTTTGGTAGATACAACCCGTGCGAGTGCTTTCGATAGTTTTAAAAAAAATGCTTTACCATTATTTAATTTAGCTGGTTTACAAGTGGATATAATCAAGGTCAGACTTTTAATTTGAAAAGCCTCAAAGAATGTGGGTGAAAACGAATGCTTTATTGCGATTCCGACTTCTACTTTATTCCTAGTCATCAAACCACTTCCAAAACAGAAAAAATTGCGCTTAAATTTTCAAGTTTATTAATAGTGATTGTACTGTCTTAGCCTACCGATATCTCTGAATTCAAAACTATTGCGGAGCATATTGACACAGCAGAATGTGATGCTCTGTACGTCATTGGTGGAGACAGTGCTTTAAGCACTGTTTTAAGTGCAGTATATCGTCAGAAGAGTGATTCACCGGTACCCATTGGTGTTTTTCCAGGTGGTTCTGACAATCGATCACTTATCGGTTTAGCACCTAATGTATTTGGTTAGTTCTCAGTTCTTTTTTTTTCGTTTTTTTTGCGGAAGAGTCGATGTTTAAATTAGTCAATAACTCTCATTGCTATGACATAAACATATTCTTGAATATTATGACGTTTTATTTATGCGATTTATTTTGTTAGCAAGAATTCCTTATATGTCATGAACGGCTTTAGCTGAAGGAAGTACATTTAGCTGGAGATAAAGTAAGCTTACATACTGTTCAATAAATTACACGCAGAATGTTAAGATAACATTATGAAAGTGAGACAGTGAAGAAGATATCACATCGCTCACAATTATTGAATCAGTTAAGAAATTACAATAAGAACAAAAATAATAGATTGGTCAAATTGATGAAAATAATGGATATGATGATAGAGGCACTCATTTCATGAGTTATTGCTATGAAATTATGACATATATAAACCAATCAATCAAATTTCTCACTTTCTTTATTCAGCACTTCAAAATGACATTCGTCCATACTGTGAAAGTGCTATGGCTCTTATCGAAGAACAAATTCGACCTATTTATCTCTCAAGCATAAGACTTGTAAGTTTTTATCACTGAACATCTCTTGGGTGATTTTCATTCATAAACTATATGCTATGATAGTCAAGTGAATAAACAGGACTAACAAACATGAGATTTGAAACGAATTTCAAAAGTCTTTTGTCATCATTTTTTAAAGTTGGGGGATTTCAAGTATAAAAATATGATGCTAAAATAAAAAGACGAAAGCTAAAAGTTTTATTTCCACCATTTTACGTATTTTACAAACAGTTTAATATTCCATAAGTTATCACTGAAGGAAAACTCAGAAAGCAGCACAGATGACGGAAAACAACCGCTTTACGGTGTATCAGGCTTGCATGCTGGTTGGTACGATAGAGTTGAGACAAACAAAGATAAATTATGGTACTGGGGTGGATTAAAACGCTGGATTGCTTATATTACAGCTTATTTACGATCTTTAAAGGTTACGCTGTAATTAGTCCAAGTTTGCGAAAGAGTTTGGTCTTCAGATTAATTTGGTTTTAAACTTCGAGGCAAAAATCGCTGAAGAAATTTTCATCATCAAAATTGTTGTTTTATTTCTCGTAAAAGCATTCATACTATTGTCCAGTTGACAATCGCATTTGATGGTAAAGGAAATTATGCATAAGTTTTTCTTTTTTAGCAATATCCAGAAGTAGAGCTTAATATGATTTGTGAGGAATATTGCGCCGGTTGCTGTAAATGTCGATCACAATCAAAGATTGAAGAGACAAAACAACGGAGGAATAGGCAGTGGTGGCATTATATAATTGGTTCTCGTAACTACACTAGTATGGTAAGTTTTCGGGATATCAACTTCCAAAACCATGAATTACTTCACTTAATAATTTCGAAAAATTCGTGAAGTCAAATATATTTAGAGTGCAACATGCTAACAATGTTGATAGTCGTTGATTGGGATAACCTAGATGAAGTGATAAGCTTTACTCATATTTCAGAACATTATAAGTGTATTAAAGTCGTGAGAGGTACAGGTTATTCTGTACCAACAGTGATGGGCGAGGTAATCGTTTGTTTTTACTAAAAGTGAAGCATATTCGAAATTAATAAGTTTGAGATGGATTGAAATGCTTGCTTAAAGTTTAAAGCACTGTAGAATTTCGGCATCAATAAATGTAATAGTCTTAAGAAACCAGAATCATTATGGAACGATATGAAACCAAAAATGGTCTACTCAACAATACAGAACGAGAATTGTGGGAAAATTAAAGAAATGAAAATTAAAGCAGTCGACATAGCATTTGAGAATGTTCAAGATCAGGCAAGTTTGTTTATATTTCAGTCTAACTAAAAATCAAGAACTGGATGCATCTCAGAGTGATAACGAATTGTATCATTGAATTATATCAGTATAGATAATCGTATAGATTTGATACAGTTTTAATGTCAGGCTTTATTTCTTGCTCATTAGGATTGTTTCAAAAGAGCAGAGATCTTTTATTGCACACAATGTTGCGATGTCAGAAAAACTCAGAGAAAAAGTGATCTGTAATCTCTCATATGCTAAGACGTTATAGGTATGGTTGCTTTTCTTGTGATTGATTGTCTAATTAATATGGATAAAAAAAACAGTAGCTCATGGTCTTTCAGAATGCATGCGGTATTCGTGTTCGTATTGGAGATGCTGAACGCAGTAGGATTAGTTTATTGATGGATGGTTGGAAAAGGTGTCATGCAAAGTTGTTTACATCTCCCGACACTGGTTTCTATCAAAACGATCTTTTTGTTAAATCGGTAGTTTTAACATTCAGTTTGCTGCCAGATGCTTTTAAGAAAATGACAATATTCGGTAATGATTATAAGATGGATAATGACTTAAGGACTCGAATACTTCTCGAATCAACTAATAAATATGTCAACATGTACCTCCCCTCTAAAATACGGGTACCCTAACATATTTCTGTAAAGAGATCTTGATACAAGTTATGGTAGACACTGGCACACTGGCTCCCCAAAACTGCTTTTTTCTAGAAAAAAACAAAACATCTGTTTTTGTTCAATGAATCTTTTTTTTTTCAAAATCGCTCTTGAACTTGTAATTTCATTTTTTTAAATATGAAATGACAGTAATGCTGTATGCGGCATCACTGCGTCACTGTTCTCAGTAATGCTGAAGAATCTGAGGATAAAGTGCAAATTGCGGCATAATTTGTTTTTCTTTCGCCATTTGACACGAGATCGCAGTACCATGACTACTTCTCTTGAATATGTTTCACAGTATAAAATTTAAATTTTTCATAGTTGTTGATCCTTTCCCAGTGTAAATGCTATTACCTTAAATTCGGCTTTATTGTTAAATTCCATAAAGTTATTCTCAGTTGTCCGTTAAAAGAATCGCCTCTCAGTCAAATAGCTTCTCATAAAGCAGTAACTGTGAAAGACTAGCAGCGAAAATTTTCCAGATTCATTCTTCTCCTTCCATTTTCATGCTCGCATTAATTCTATTCCTTAAAGGTTCCTAGATGAATTATTTCTCGTAAATTGGATTGAAATTCTGGAAAAAAGTTATCGGTTGTCCTTTGCCGTTTACAGCTGCAACGTGGGAGATCCTCCTTATGCTATTTTTTAGTCTTCAGTTTTTCAATTTTTCAAAACTAAAGGCTAGCTTACAGAAGAAGCAGGGCTACCTACCTTGCAAGTTAATTGGCGCAAATTAGTTTTGAGTGAAACTATTTCCAACCTATGTAATGGTATAATTTTAAACAGTTCACTTGTTTTCGGTCTACTGAAACCTATCAAGTTATGCCGATTTCTTTCATGCTGACCTTATAAAAATTGCATCTGACGAGGTATGTTCATTGTTTTAGTATGTAAAGCAATAAGTCGGTTCTTCTAGGTCGTAACAAACTTGATGGAGTATGTTTCGGTGTCGCATAATCCTTTTTCAGTAGTAACATCACCTAAGTTTATTTTAATTATCGGCTATAAATGATAACGAAAATCGTAAAAACTGAAATTCACATCCAGCAGTCAAGATATATTTCGTGCACGCGATGCTGTCATATATTTGCTCCAGAAAGAGTTTTAAGATGCCCTGAATATCTCCTTTTGATCGATCCATTAACTACACTACCAGTAGTTTGATTAAAATGCACGAAATGACACATAAGATGGCAACAATTTGAACAAAATATAATTATATTAATGAGATGAATCATTATGTACTGGGAAGACTACGTTAATCCGTTACCTGATGTAACAGCAACTCTGAATTTGTGCCTATTAGTCCTATCTCGCATAAATTTGAAGCAAAGAATATACGTTTGCATATATGTAAAACACTTACGTTATTACGGGCATGATAACCACCATCCAATCTTACAAAATCTAAAATGATCGTGGCATTTTTATTGAATTTTTATAAATTTTCAGTAACAAAACCCAGCTAAATGGATCTGCACAGACTCCAGATAAAGGTTAATCTATTTGATTTACAATTCAGGGAAATCAAATTTCTAACCATACGAAACTCCTCTGGCAATTCCCACTTACTCGATGAAACTTTAATTTTTGCTGTCGTTTTTTGCAGGTTCGAAAATCGAAAAAAAAGAAACAAAGAGGTGATTGAATGACTTTTGATTCAGTCGCACTGGGAAATTTGTTTTTGCTTTTTCGTTTAAATGAATGGTAAAAGCCAATAGTGAGTTCTATCACTATAGTGGGTAGTACTTACTGTACATCTGTTATTGTATTTATATTTAAGCTTTTTTTTTTATTTATTCCTATAATAGTGATGGAAAAATCTCGGAAACCGTTCTTCTACTTCAATTTCCATAAGAGGAATGAAAAAAAAAGTGTTGATAATCTAAAGGCTAACTATTCCTCTAAGATTTTGGGAACTCTGAAAAATGTTGAGGGTGAACAATTTGACCAATTTCGATGTCATAGATTACCAAAGGTGGATGAAGAACTGCATGTAAGAACGATTTTCGAACCGGTTTCTGTAGTAGCTCGTCCAGCGAAAACGAAACCAAAGATTCGTAGCAAACTGAGATGGAAAGAAGATGTTGATTCGAAGGAAAAAACGGAAGAATCGAAATGCTCCACCGCTAATTCCGACAAAGCGATAAGCTTGAATATAAAAAACAAGAAAGAATCCGGTCAGGTAAAGGCGACAGCTAGTAAGAAATCAGGAAAGAGTACAGGTAGTACTGGTGAAAGACAACAATCAATTCTGTGGATGATTATTCGGAAAATTTTAGAGGAGATACTCATCTGGGTCATTATCATCGTGATTCTCATCTTTATGCGAATTCAGAATTCCTTGGATCTTTAACATTTTCACTGTAGACTAATCAGTGCAAGAAATAAAAACCAAAGTCGTTTTATCGTGACTAGGACCACTATGCTAAAAATGCCTAATCCCGCAAGCGGTGGATCTTCGGGAGAACTGATACTTTTTCAAAGATGATGGTATACTGCAGATGGAAATCACCATACGGAGTACGGAGAGATTGTGGTTGTTAAAGGTTCAGTTGAGTGGTCTTCTTACTCAAAGTTTAACAATGTTTGTTCGGGTAGTAACCCTCAGTTCTATGTTCTGTCGACTTCTTTCCCTCTAAAGAAATCTATCCCCATGTGTTGTCTTGCCCTTTCAACAGGTAACTCTTTTCTCCTTCTTAAAGGTTCTTAAAACGAAAATATGTATTATGTATGTGTTAATTGTCAGCTATTCTTGCAACAATAGCTGACAATTAACATTTGTCGGGAATGAACAGTGGGCTTCTCTTTACCTTCCGCTTCATCTTGGTGGTTCTCCAGTATGTAAGTATTTCACTCCACGGAGTCACTTATTAGGTTTTTTTTAAGGCTGCAACCGTAGAATGGTACTTAAAGATGAGCGGAAATATTTTGCGCCCTGTTGGAATGAGGCCAAGGAAATTGTTTACGGAGTGGGAAATAAGTGCAGACGGTAAGAAATTCCGAACTGACCATGATATTGATTATTCATCTTAGTGTGCTTTTTTGCACTGTACAACATGCATTATGAGCTAAAAGAGAGTTAAAGTAGCGGGGCAGAAGAGGATTGGTTGCGCTGAGCAGTAATGCTAAAATGAAATTCTTTACGAAAATTTCAATGACTGACCTTTTGTGGAATGGAAAGTTTTGGAATGTGTAGGGAAAATTTTAGATGAAAAACGAAATATTGAGAACAAAATTAGAAATTTTTGCAAGAATCGATCAATCTTTCCATACTCAATTGTTTATGTTTCTCTCTGCTCGGGCATCGGCTTTTTAGCTTATATAATACATAGAGTGCTGGCAATGAGCGAAGTATTACAACTACATAAGCACTGTACCTTAAGCATCCGAAATGAAAAGCGTTCACCGATATACTTTTCCGTCAGCTTATTTCTTCGAAATTGCCATATCCGTCCAGATTAGGTTCACTGTTCGTCTTGTAATTTCTTTCCCTGAAGATTAAAACACTCCCATATGACTTACTCACAAGTTTTTTGCTCGCAGTTTCCCAAAATTTTATTGGTTTTTTATTTTTGTTTTTTTTATTTTCCCATATGAAGTTCCCCTTATTTGTCTATTTATTTCATGTGAAGATTTCGAGCTAGTGCATGCTGCTTTGTTATAAATTGTTACTGGTTGTTCAGTGTCATAATAATTTAATTTTCTCTCTCCGAGATAGCAATTGAGTTTCTTGATTGTTGGTTTATGGTCATCTTTCTGACACGTTTGTCACGTATTTGAATCTTCATTTATTAAAGTTATTTATTCAAATTTCCAAAGCCATCATAAATTATTAATAAGGACTGTTTATATGTATTAAAGCCATATGTCTGTAATAGAATAAGGATTTCTTACTTTAGGCGGATTTTTTAATGAATTTGCTTGAGCAATGTGTCATTTATCTTATATACTCTACAGGAAAGGAGACTCTACTATTGTGAAATGATTGCTGGTGAATAATATGGATAAAGAAGCTTTCGTGCATTTTCTTGGAGGAGCTTTGGGCGGTACAGCTGGAACAGCTATCACCTGTCCACTTGAGGTTCTTTTTGTTATTCTTTGTCTATCTGTCTTCAGGGTTTTCAGAATTCTGTAGTCGATCTAGTGAGAAGACTGTAGTTTAATTCAGTTATATTTTAAACTATGGTTCTAAGAAATTTCCATTTTTCTGACATTTAGAAGTCTCTTTTTTCTCTGGACCACAGTTATGTTATCATGGCAATCAAGAAGTTCAAATATCCGGCGAAAAGTGATTAAAAATTTGCATCTTTAATATCATGAATTGAAAGATAAAACGAAGATCTGGTCGAATAATTTTTTCAGGTGGTTAAAACGCGATTACAGAGCACAGAATATGCGTACACAACGTTATCTCATCCATATTCCGAAGAAACTTCCAAAGTCCGTATACGGTTACCTCACCCACACATTTTGCTATCTCACAGCCGAATGAGAACATGTAAACGGATTAATTTGTTTCATACAGTGTGGTCGTTGTTACCCAGTTGCAACTGAAGCGACGGTTATTTATGTTAATTCAATAAGTGGTTAATATATAGTTTAGTATAACGATACGTTTTATCCTTACATAAGTTTTATTAGTCAAGTTACTTTCCCTTGTACTTCTTAAATGTTACAGCTTTCAACATTCCTCAAAAGTTGCGGCTGTGTTATGTACCGCCAACATGTGCAGTGCAGCGAAATGTACAACTTTTTGCGAAACCTGGTTTTGTGCAGCAGAGCAGGAGCATATATACCTTCTTCAAGTATATTTTTAGTCTCGGAGGACATAAAATAACTCGAAATGACTTCAGAAACCAGAAAATAATATTTGAATTTATGTTAAATCTGAAAGGGAATAATCTCGTTCAGTTGATAATTTTGATTTCTTGATCTATACAGGAAAATGTTTTTGCGTAATCTCATAGTTAAATCAAGGCTTCAGTCCTTCCAAGGATACGTGATGACGGAAAGATGGCCACTCCAACTGCTTTTGCAGAAATGCAGTAATTTTTATTTTGTTTCAGACAAATTGTTGTAAATGAAGGATTCTCAGCTCTTTTCAAAGGAATTGGTCCTAACCTTATTGGTGTTGCACCTTCGAAGTGAGTGCTTTAAGTTTTTCTCGAAGTATGAAATATGATACAGCATCTTTTGAAGATCTCTCTTTGACTGCAGGATATCACTTGCGGTGTTTTTCTTTAAAATTCGATAACAGTCCTTTGGAATCAATCAGTGAGTAACTTTATTTTTAAATGGTTTTTCACTTACCTTTCTTACCATCATTTTTGGAATCCCAGAAACCAATGTGGCCTTTTTCAATGGAAACGCATTGTTTGAATGTTGTTTCCCTGTCTTTTTTATTTTAGTCTCTGCTCTAAATCGTTGGTTGCGTGAAGAAAAAATAAAAGGTATGTTTTCAGAGCAGTTTATTTTTGCACTTATTCAAGCTGTAAACGATTGCTGAACAGTTTGGATATTTTTGTCTCGAATAGCGCTATGATACATATGTCTTCTGCAGCTGCTAGTGGTAAGCTTTTGTTGTTTATCAAATTTGAATATTTCCAAAAATTAGATCACCAACTTGAACTAATAATGAGCTGCTTTTAAGGCTTCGTTGCTGCAACCGTAATTAATCCAGTTTGGTTGGTTAAAACGCGTTTGCAGTTGCATAAAGGGCCACTCTCAGTGACGGAATGCATTAGACGGGTGTGGAGAACAGATGGCTTTAAAGGCTTTTATCGGGTGAATTTTTTTTAAGCATTTCGAAACGCGATGTATCAAAGGGACAGTGTTTGTTAATTAAGCAAACTCGTCCGGAAATCTTCAAGAAGAAAATTACCGGAATATTTGATATTAATAATATTTTCTTATGTAGCTACTCATTTCTGATAGTTACCTTTTGTTCCATCTTTACTGTTCTTCTCTTAACCGTTTCTGCGGACGTGGTTTCAGTTTCAACTACATCACGTTAATCGTATCCCAAATACTGCAGTATGATTAAAATATTCAATAGAATAGTTTATTCCAGTGTTCGGTGGAATAGTTTATTCTATTTTAGGGAGTAACCGCATCGTACGTTGGGATTTCTGAAACAGTGATTCAGTTTGTATTATATGAAGAAATGAGAGCATTGTTGTTGAAGTGGAAATCATCTCGGAACGCGCACGTAGATGGGTGCAAAGATTTAACAAATCCGGATACAGATATCGAAAAGTGGAATGAAAAATCTCGTCTTAAACAAGATGAGAAACAGTTGTCAACGGTACAAATGTCCTTAACTGAAAACGACAATCGTGAGATGATTGATTTCTTGCATTTTATGCTTGCTGGTGGGACAGCAAAGTTTTTCGCCTGTTCATTAGCTTATCCACATGGTTCGTTCCTTTGACCATGCAATTTCTGTTGTTTGGTTTGACCTGTAGTTATATGTTATTTGATTTTCCAGATATTTTTGGGTTAGCATATTTTTCAGATAATCCAAAGGTACAGCTTAAGCTTTAACAAGTTTTTTGTCGTATTTGTTTGTTTCTAAAAATGTTGATCTAATCGTTGTAGATCATTGATTCGGATGATACAATGTTTGTCTTTTTAGAAAATGATTTTTCTTGAGAATCTGTTTAGTCATTTGAGCACCACATGAAATTATTGAATTCATCCATTCCTAGACACGGATAAACTGAAGTTAATACTGTTGAAGATGAAATTTCGGACCAAACGTTTTTCATCAGCTTACATATATGCTAGGCCACATTTCATTCGAAAACATGTTATCATTTTTCTTTAATTACAGAAGTAGTACGTACTCGTATGCGTGAAGAGAATGCTGTAACAAAAGGATTTCTGCCTACGCTAAAGTTTGTCTTGCGAGGGGAAGGATTTTGGGCACTTTATCGAGGATTGGCTGTACAGGTTTGCTAAATTTAAATAATTTGTTATATTACCTTTGCTTTTTCAGTGATAAGTGATAACTAGATTTTTGTGCAGTTTTGTGCATTAAGTAATTTGCTATATCGTATAGCAATTTGAATAGTAAAGTTTAACTTATTGTCGTTGAACTTATTCTTTTATGTCCCAAACAAGCAATCACTACTTTTAGCTTTTACGAACAGTCCCAAACACAGCAATCACTATGGGTACTTACGAATTGACGGTGCATGTGTTGCATGGGTAAGTTCTCGTGATCCTAATTAAAGTACCAAATATTATTATGTCACTTTCTAACCATTCCCTTATTCAGTAAGTGGTTCCCAACGTTTTCCTAACCAGGAACTGGGAGGTCCCTGGTCAAGAAAAGGGCTTTTTTATTTGTGGCACAAAGGTTCAAAAACAATAAACTTCATTAATTTGAAAATAAACTTTAGTCAAAACTTTTAGCTTAGATTAGCATTATAATATAAAAAAGAAAAGACATAATTTTCAGTAGTCCTCACGGACCATCACGGACCACCGGTTGGAAACCATTACCTTATTGTAACCAAACTAAGTGCTGATCTTAAGTAGTGAAAATGTTGACTTGAATATTAGAAATAAACAATCAAATAATATCGAGTACTTCCAATTTTAGTGTCTTGCGCTGAAAAATATATGTACCGCATGATACGAATGTTCACTGAAATGCTTGTCGCATCAGAGGCTTCGTAAAATTTCGAGTGCCCAAAAGTATTGGATGCTAGCGTTTACATCAGTATCAAAATGCTTCTGACAGAAAGCAAGGAAAATTCGACTTGTTTATTGGAAAACAATTACGGCTAAAAGTGCCTTAATTTTCAAGCTGGTTTTTGATTTTGGGAAACTGAAATAGGAACGAATAATAAGTTACTAAGCGATGATTGCCTGTTCTGAACTAGTACTAACTTGATCTTAATGACGCAGTGATTATTTCAGCAAAAAAAGAGATTCTGATTTAAAAGGGAGATATTCAGGTTTCCAGAAATCCTTGAGCTGGATGAAAACTTTTTTGTTCCTTTCCGTTTTTTGCACTGAATAATCCGACAACAGTAATTTCCCTCAATTCATTTGTTTGATTTCAATCATGCTGATACTGTTGATGTCCTTCATAGTGGTTAATGTGAGAACACATGAAAAAAATCCATGTAGTTGTTTAGTAAACAAGTAGTATTCGTGGCGAAATGTTAGTGTTTCCCGTCAACTGGCTGAAGATTGAAAAATTTGTTTCATTTATATTTTATTCTTCATGTTATTATTTTAACGAAGATTGAATAGTTTCTATTTATTTCCTTCATGTTAACTTCTTTTTCCACTGTCTTTTCATAGACTAAAGCATATATATATATATATATATATATATATATATGTGTAAGTAAAAAACAAACAACAACA